ATGCCATGCCCCCTTCGCTAAGCCCATTTTTATACATATAAACTATCCCTGAAACAGCAGTCGTAGAGATGCCGTGTCAAATTTCGGTTCGATTCTGTGTATCCGTTTAGGTTTTAACTTGGTACAAATATACGTACAGTCCCTTGCCAGCGAAATATATATCATATATATATATATATATATATATATATACTCAAATATTTTAAGAACTGTTCAAAACATATTGATTCTAAATACTTATCATCTTTCCCTTGCAAAACAAAACTAATAAAAAAATCTCATCAAAAACGAATTCCTAAAAACCTCTACAAATATATATATATATATTTAAAGACTTACCGCAAAATATTGCGGGAAAATATAAAGATTTATGTGAGCTGAACCATTTTGAAAAAAACTCCGAAAACCCAGATTTTTCATAAGCAAAATTAATTTTTAAAAACATTTTTCTAAAAGATCAACTTGGATTATAGAAGAATTTGAGCTCAAAAGGTCTGCATGTAAATTTTTGAACATTTTATCAACGGAATCCAAATATCGAGATTTTTGATGGTATTTTCAAATCGGTTCAGCTTACGTAAATTCGAATTATTTTGGTGGAAGTCTTTGTATGCAATAAACTTACTCATTCCGATGGCAAAATAGTATCGATAATTATTTATTTATTTTTTTTTGTGAATAGAGAGTGATGTGAGTTTTGCTTTATTTTAATTTTTTATTCAATTTCATCATTTGAAGCTTTTTTTCCTATCTAAAACCTACACATAAATCATCGCATGCTGTCTGTCTACCACTCTCGTTCTTTATTTCTCATTGCAATCTAGGTGATACCGCATCACAACAACACCAGCCGCAATACAGCCAGCAACACTAGCAGATTCATGCAACGCCGTCATGGCGGTAGTCTTCGTTGCCCTACACACCCGCACAGCGCTAGCGGAGAAGGCGCTAGTCATTCGGTCGGTCGGTCCAGTTCGTTTCGCGTGCACCGGCCGCGCAATCCAGCCGCCACGTATGGCAGTGTTGGCGGCAGTTGTGGCAGTGGAGCAATGAGTAGTGGCAGCGGCGCTAGTGCTGGAGGCAGCATTTGCAGCAGCAGCAGCATTGCCACACTGAATAGTATTGGTCACGGTGGCAGCGGCTCTGGTGGCGTTCATAGTATAGGCAGTGGACACAGTACTGGCAGCGGCAGTAGCGGCGGTGGTGGTGGAGGTAGCGCCGGTGGCAGTGGCAGTGGCAATGGCAATCTCTTTTGCAAACACATCAAGTATTGTTGCCTGCATCAACAACATTCACAACTGCCAACAATACCAGGCCCAACAACATCTGCGCAACATCAGCACACGCACACGCAACCACACCAACAGCAACCAACGCTGCCGGCGCAACCGAATTCACCGCATAAGCATCGTTTGCAACAACAACAACAACAACAATCAGCAAAAATGCAAGCACTTTGTGCAGTAACTGTGCCAGCGTTGGCGGCAGCGGGTGGTATGGCGGGTCACTACCTACAACATGCGCATCAATATCAGCAGCCCACGACGGGTGGTGGTGGACCATACGATGTGCGCTTGGGGCCCGATGGCGAGGACAATAGTGGTGGTGATGGCATCAAAGATCGTCAACAGCATTTGTATGGGAGTGGTGGTGGACAACATATGCCACAACAGCACTCTCACCACCATCATCAGCAACAGCAGCAGCAGCAACGGGCGGCCGCGTTGCCAAAAAGGCATTCAGTGATATTGGAACGCGCATTCGACTTTGGTGAGTGGAATATCATATATTTACAGCGATTTTAAAGTAGATTGTATTTAAATTTGAAAGTTTTACTTTGATGGTTAGTAGTAACTTAAATAGCATACTAATTTCTTATATTTTTAAATTAATTGAATACAAGTCCTCTTATCTAAGTCTTAAAATGTGTGTATAGTCGAAGGTGCTCTTATAATGAAGTGAAGCGGATTTTTTTTATAAATATTCTTGGCAATAAGTATAGCAACATTAAAAATCTCTGGGTATTAAAAATTAATTGCAAACACTTCCCTTTTAATTTTTTTAAAACCGCTTTTCTTTAGTTAAAAACAAATTAATTTTCGCAAAAAGAAATATATGATATCTCCACATTCCAACAGCGATGTGTTTTAATATCATTTATCATTCATCGAATTTTAAGCACAATATTTCTTCCATTTCGTTTACGCAATATTTATGAGTTCTTTCCCTGTGCTTTATATTGTATTTGATGTCGTAAATTTTAATTTCAAAACATACATTTTCTTCTTCTCATTTGGTGCTGTAATCACCTAAGCGATTTTGGTCGGGTAAAATACAGCACGCCAGTCGTTGCTCTTCTATTCCAAATGGCAGTAGAATACAAAATGAAGCCAAGTGATTCTCCACCTGGTCTCTATCGCAAAGCAGGTATTACACTGCAATCAGCATCACGATCGACGTGGAATACTTGAGACCGAGGCAGCGCAGCCGATGTGTATTGCTTCGCTGTATGTTAATGTAGTTGTAAAGCTCATACAGCTTACTGTTCTATCACCTATGGTGCTCGCCGTTGCCTGTTTGGAAAAAACTGTGCCTGAGCGGTCCAATATCAGGTTAAAGAATCACACGAAAGGGCGTCGCCCTATCTGAAATCCGTTTGGTATAAAACTGCTGGGAGAGATCCTTCCCAGTTATAATGGTGCTAGTGGTCATTTTACACACAGCTGTTTTAGTTTCGCGGGGATACCAAATTCAGATATAAATAAAGAAAACTTCCTTCCTTCGATCCCTTTTCCCCAAGTTTTACAAGATTTGACGTATGGTGAACACCTGTCCTATTAGTTCGTTGACGGTGGGCTTAGTCTTTCAATCTATAGGCTTTAAGCCGCCGCCACAAAAAAGACGTAACCGACCTTTTTTTGTAAATTTTTTGGGGATACACATTAGAGGGCTACATGAATTCGTTCAAAACGGCCTATGAATTATTCATATACAAAACGAATGAATTATTTTGGCCTATCAACAATATTGGCCAAAAGCATCTAAGGTATGCCCAAGGTATGCCCAAGGACAGGATTGAGAAAATAGGAAGCCTCATAGCGAGAAAAGGAATAATTCCAATTGTAAGTTCCAATTTGGTATACAAAAAATAAATGAAGTATTAAAAAGAATAAAATTATTCCAAATATCGGCTGAAGCGATAAGAAAACGACTCATTCAGGTAATAAGAAAACGACTCGCCCAGGCGAGTTGCCTTCGGCGGACGTTTTAGAGCGACTGGCAATAGGAAAGGAAATCATTCGATGGCAATATTGCCGGCAACAAAAATTGTTTGATGGAAATATTCAAACAAAGTTAAAATAAATTGAATAGAAATAAATGGCAATTTTTTTTATCAATATCCAAAAAATCAAATTTACTTTAAAAAAGTGCAAGTTTTAAGTAGCTAGAAATTACCGTTGATTTTTGGGAATTTTTTTCACGCAGTCTCTTCCATACAAAAATTTTTTTTCGAAAATACTTTATATGGAAAAAATGCAAAACACCTTCAACAAAAAAGGTTCTCAAAAATTAACGCGACTTTTGACTAACTCCAAACTTGCATTTTTTACTATAATTTAATGGGCTGTAAAACTGCATACTCAAAAAATTACAAAAAATCTGATTAAAAAGTTGAAAATTTTGATGGGAATTTGCTGAATTTTCGCGAGTTTTGCACAAAGTTTAGGAATTATATTTTTATTTTATTTTTAATATTTAACCTTTAAAAATAAAATGTTAACAAGCCACAATAACATTGACAAATACATAGTTTAGGAAGAGCCTGCCTGAAGCTATACAAAAAAGCAAATAAGCAAATGGATGTATAGAATTGACAACAACAACCACGCTGTCGAGTTTAAATAGCGGAAAATCAGCTGCACTTGATAGTAGTTGGTTGAATAAGGAAAATGAACTAGCAACAAGAGTTTACGGGATGTACATAGCTCAGTGGTTAACGCTTCTGACTTTGAACATCGAATTCGCAGGTTCGATTCCTGCTGAAGTCTAGAAAAAAGAAGTCTGATGAGGA